TCGGTTCGTCGAACGCCGCGCGCAACGTCGCGTCAATCACCACACCACACCGACAATAACATCACACCACACCACACCACAATCACACCAATCACACCACACCACACCGACAATCAGCAGACGGCGCGCCGTCTCGGATTGTCGGTGTGGCGGTGGTCTGAACGGAGGTTGTGAAAATAGCGTTCTTATCTGCGAATATTCGCGCAAACAAGCTAACTACTTTGGCTATGTTCAGACACAACGACTTACGCTAGCGTAACGTTATAGTCCACCAGAAATACGGATTTGAAGCACCGAAGTTGGACATAATTGCAACAAAACGTTTTTTTATGAATATATATAGTTAAATTTTATATCTACAACATACAAAAAGTTTACCAAAATATACCGAAAGGTGATTTTTATAGCAAAGAAAACTGAACTATTTCACTGGGCTTATACGCCCTGCCTAGGATGTGTGTGCTGTGCCTTGGTTACGAAGCGCTTTAATTTGATTTGCCGCTGACGTTTTTGATTGGTTAACATACCTTCAACTTGTGCGCGGCGTAGCGAACGCCAGTATTAGCGCACAATCACTGGCGTACGTTAACCTAGCAACAGACCCCAGATAAGCGTACGCCACTGAGTTACGACAGTCACGCATCAGTGATTTTGAACTCGACCAGGATTTGACCAATCAAAATAAGCCTAGATGTAAACAGGAAATAAAGTGTGCGAATTACGAATACGAATATTTAGCGCGAATATTTAAGCTAGCGTTCGTTAATCGCACAGTCTGGACATCTCGCTAGTTACGCCATGGATTAACGTACACCCGGCGTTAGATACGCCTGGCGTATTTCTCAGGTCTGAACGTAGCCTTTGACCCCAGAGACACGCGTTGTCGCGTTGCGTTCTTTATAGAATCGCGTCGGCCGACGACCGTCGGGTGCAGTGAGTGCCCTGCTTTAGACACACGGGTATTCCTGGTCCTTTTCTGATTGGTCAGCTGTTAAGTTTGATTGATACTTCGGAAAGGTCCATTGCAGTGAGAAGGAATAGAAACGAGGCTTTCCATGTACGCCGCAAACGAGCTTCAACTCAAGTTATGCTTTCTCATCTCATGGATGGCACCTGATTTCCCAACCCAGACTTTTCGTCGTAACCAGGACTACCGTACATTTTCGCTAAACCCTCAACTTTGATATTGCTGCTAATGTACCAAAAAACGACAATTGTTAAACATACGGGCTTGTTAGACAGGCGCGTATTCCTGTCTCTGTTCTGATTGTTCAGTTGTTAAGTTTGACTGACGTCCAGAAAGGTCCATGTCATTGAACAGGAATACTGCACACGAGTTTCAGCTCAACTTATGCTTTGCTACATCGTGGATGGCACCTGATTTTCCTATCCAGAATTTTAGTCGTAAGCCGGACTTTTCGTTATTCTATAGCGAGCATTTTGGTACAAAGACATTTCGAACCCCCTAAATTCTTGGTTACGAAAATTCCGGGTTACGAAATGTCGATAATTTTGAATTAAACTTGCTCACTTTTCAGTAACATATAAATGATTAACTTGAGCATAGAAAATATTAATTTTTAAAATATGAACCCTGATTTTTATAGTGGATAATGATAAAAATCATAAAAACACCTTTTAAAAATACTCTATTTTCTATGTTCAAGTTGATAAATTTTATGTTAATTAAAAATAACGCCACTTCTCATGGTAGTCTACGCACGCACGAGGAAAAAACTACAACGTGAGTTTGGGAGTTGAACAAGTCGTTTGTGTGTGGCGATTAAAAGCAAACCTTGGCCCTTTGTCTATTTTTTAGTTTAGTTAATTTGATTTTTTTTTTAATTTATTAATGCTTTCACCTGTACGGTTTATGGTGTAAGGTGTAAGGCTCGAATAATTTCTACTGTACACAAACGTTTCCAATTAAAAAGGCTAATATGGTGACGCACTCCATAATAAATTTAAAAAAAAAATACAGCAGTTTGAGTTTTATCGTATTTCACAACTAGGGCGAAATCAATATTGCCATATTTGTCCCACGACGTTAAAGCAGGCTCCGGAGGAAAAAGGTATGTCGTACAGCTGATTTTTCTAAGGCATAAAAAACTCAGAAGCGGTTAATGAGATACAGATTATTGAATATTTAAAAAACTAGGGCATGCTTATTTCCACCTCCCCAACCAGTTTTTCAAATATTAAAAAAGCTATATCTCATTAACCGTTCCCGAGTTTTTGTCAAACATCCTTTTTGTGTCCTACACTGAGTATGCCTATCACTGGATACTTTTAATGATTTTTACCCCACAAAAAAAATCTGTTTAGTCTGAATAAGAAAACGTCGTGTTTATCATCTTCTTTTTTTTAAATTATCTGTTAGCTGAGATGATAATGTTGATTAAAAGTTACAGTACAAGTATTATTTTATCTGATATTGAAATTAAGAGAACAAAATATGTAAGTCTTAGAGTTTTATTTGTTATTGTCCTTTTTATCAGCCAAAATATAATAATAATAATAATAATAATAATAATAATAATAATAATAATAATAAATGTATTCTTATGTAGCGCAGAATGCTGGAAACCTCTATGCGCTTTACATTAAAAGCAAAGGCCAGATAAAAATTAAAAGAAAAGATGATAATTACAACAGTGAGCGAAAATCAGGTTAATTTTATGATATATGTATTTATTTATTATTTATTTATTTTTATAATAATAATGTTTAATTATGAAAAATTTCAACCAAGTTTTTATCTTATTTACCTCCCCATTCCATTTTGTTATTCTTTTCCATTTTAATTTAGATTTCTTTTCTATTCATCTATTTAAGTGTTTAAATTGTTTTATGAGTTTGGTTTGTCGTTTCTTTTCTTTCCTCCCAGCCTTTGCCTGTATTGCCTACCACCACCCCTCCAACCAACCAACCAACCAACCCACCATTAATTCCACTCCATAAATCTACTAGCCAGTGCAAGCAAAACAGAAAATACATTCAAAGTCAAAGAAAACTTACAGGTTAATGAGAGAGTGCAGTCCCGTGAAATCGCCTCGTTGAATGCCGTTAATCACATTATATGACATATTTCTAATGGACAAAAACAATTGAAATTATTTCAGAAAATAACCTTAACACATCATTGCTGCAAAACATGCAACGTTATTTACTCAGAGATTGCCGTCCTGTTGCAATATTATTATAACAAGACATTATTGGATTAGATGCCATAGGCTAGGCTTCAAATTTGTAAAATGTAACTGTTAAATGACATTTTAAACTTACATGGAAGTAATAAATGGTGGCCCAACATCCGCTAAATTTGAAGGCACTTTGTCCAGGTTTTGACATGAAAGTGTACGATATCCACACTTACAATTGGTTGGACAAAATCCTGGCGATATACCCATTATGAACGAACTTGTAAATGCTAAAATGAACACCAAGTGCGATGCTTCCATGTTTTCCTAATCTATTCCGTATAAGTTGTTATAAGAGAAGTGACGGTATTTGGTATTTTGATTTTATATCGCTAAGTTTGCTTCAGTCACATACTAACTTTGTTGTGAATTTGTTCCAAGAATATTCTTTTTATCTCTATGGACTCTGCGCGAAAAATAACAGCGCGCAATCAATGGACCTTTCCGCTAAGCCCCGCCCCTTGGATATTGTTGCTAAGGTCCCACAAGACGACAGTGTTAAAACATACGCGAACACGTGCGTTTGTGGGACAACACGTGTGTTTGTGAGACGCGCGCGTATCCCTAGCGCTGTTCTGATTAGTCAGTTGATAAGTTTGATTGACACTCCGGAAAGGTCTATTGCGTGCGCACGCACGTGTATCTAGCTCATCTCAACGCATGCCTTTACCTTTTCCAAAGGGTTTTGGGTCTTCAAATAATCAATCTATCAGAGCAGGGTCTCGTGGTTTTTCATTTAAATTCATTTATTGGCTCACTTGATATAAAATACAATATCAAAAGAACAAAAAAAAAAGAAAAAAACCCAAGACTATTAAAACTTTCAGGAGGTAGCAAATTCATCACTTTCTATGTGGCTCTCCAACTCCTATGCAACCTAGCCTTATGTCTGTTTGTAAAACGGAACATAGTGCGTTTCCTCATTGCTACAATGAGAAGTGACTGGATAAAAAGAACTGCTTCGCTGACTTACAGACATTTTACTACAAACATCCTTAAATTGATTACCAGTCAATTTATCAATAGCACAAAAAAGGTGTATTTACTGTCCGATACACCGGTATCCTCAACATTGATTTGCTATGCATCCCGGAACATAGTGCGTTTCCTCATTGCTACAATGAGAAGTGACTGGATAAAAAGAACTGCTTCGCTGACTTACAGACATTTTACTACAAACATCCTTAAATTGATTACCAGTCAATTTATCAATAGCACAAAAAAGGTGTATTTACTGTCCGATACACCGGTATCCTCAACATTGATTTGCTATGCATCCCCTTTAATATAATATTATATAGATGGGAAACGAATACCATGTATGGACTTCGGAAATACTTTATTGGAGGAAACCAATATTTCGACCTATATTTAGGTTTTTCATTTCATTTCATTTCAAGGTAAATGAAAAACTATTAAAAAAGTAAACGTTTTCTCGACTTTTTGAAAATGTATAAATGTATATTGAGTCGTTCATAACAATTCGTCGGACGAATTATAAGATTTAGACTGAGCTCCTCCTCCCCTAAGAAATCAAAACCTACGGTACTAAAATTGTTCAGATATCAATACATCTAATTGCCGTTATTGACCAATATGCTCAATCGATTTTTAAGGATCCCATTATCTGGTCGCTCTGTGTTTAATCGGTTTTGTTGACTTAGCGTAGAGCAAACTAGTTTCTTTGCTAGGCCTATTAGTAACAACAGCCTTATTTAACTATTGTACCTTGGAGTCTCGTGAGCAAATATTGCACAATCTTGCGAAATTCTATGTTTAGAAAATGATTAAGTATGAACGCTCATAAGTGTATACTAAAGTCATATTAAATGTTGCAGACGACAGGATCGACAAGCCACTCGGATAGTCTGATCAGATCATGTCTATCCTTGGTTTAGAAGCACCAACATGGCTGCTTATTCTATTCGTTATAATCCTACTGTATGTGTACGGAATGTGGGGCTTTTCGTACTGGAAGGATCGAGGCATTTCTGGACCAAAACCACTACCTTTTGTCGGCAATGGACTTGACGTATTTTTTAAAACAGGGATGCATCAAAGCCAACTGAAGTACATATTAGAACATGGTCCTATTGTTGGTTATTTTGAGGGACGAAAACCACAGATCATTATAGGAGACCTGGACACGCTCCGACAGATACTCATCAAGGATTTTAATTATTTCCAAGATCATAGAAGGGTTAGTGACTTGGATTTTAAGCCTCTTGACAAGGGGCTCACGCAATTAGAAGGTCATGAGTGGAAGAGAATTCGAAATACAGTGACGCCAACGTTCAGCTCTGGCAAGCTTAAGATAATGGTACCATTGATCAATAATGCCTGTAAAACACTTCTTGGTAGGATCAATGACCTCATAAAATCAAAAGATGATATCAACGTGAAAGACATGTATGGTTGTTTGATGATGGATGTTGTTGCAAGCACGAATTTTGGTCTGCAACTAGATTCTGTAAAAAATCCAGAAAATCCATTTATAAAAAACATAAAGAACATTCTTTCCGGCGGACGGCTTTGGTTGTTCGCGGTTGCAGTAATGTTACCGGTAGTAGGAAAGCTTTTTAGATTACTTGGCGTTGGACTCTTCGATCCGAAATCAGTTAATTTCTTCACAGACGTCACAGATCAGGTTGTGAAGGAAAGAAAAAGTGATCCAAATAATGAGAGAGTGGATTTCATCAGATTGATGATTGATGCTCATGATATGGAGATTGCGAAAGAAGAAGATGGACTCAAAATCCATTTCGATGATGAGGATACAGAGCGTACACCAACGAAAAAACCGCTGTCAACTGAAGAAATGATGGCACAGGCTGTGTTGTTCATAGTAGCCGGTTACGACACCACCAGTACTCTATTGAGCTTTATCTCTTACTTGATGGCCCTTCATCCTGACATCCAAGACAAGCTCGTCCATCACATCGAAGAGGTCATGGAAGGTCAAGATTCAGTAACGTATGAAGCTATCACTAAAATGTATTATCTAGATCAGATAATCCATGAGACTCTACGGTTGTATCCATCAGCCCCATCAACAGACAGGTTGTGTACGTCTACCTGGACTCACGATGGTTTGACGATTGAAAAGGGTGTCGGAGTAATTGTTCCAATCTGGGCAATTCATCACAACCCTAACGTCTGGTCTGATCCAGAAAGGTTTGATCCAGATAGGTTCAGCAAAGAGAACAAAGAGAAGCACCATCCAATGGCCTGGATCCCGTTTGGACATGGACCTCGCAACTGTGTTGGTATGCGATTCGCTCTAACAACGGTTAAAATTGCAGTCGTTCACATCTTCAGAAAGTATCGAGCTGTTCCCGTAAAGAGTACCCCGATACCAATCGTATCCAAAGTTCTTGGTCAAGTTATTCCGAAGGATGGGATTCCTCTAGGTTTTGAGAAGAGGGAGTAAGTCTGAAATGAGTTCGTCGTACCTCTTTAAGGAGATATAAATTAACATTATTAAACTAATTAATAATATAAGCTGATAAACTGAATTAATTGGCCAATCAATTGAGCATTAATATATTTGCGGGGTTTTTTTTTTTTTCTCTCAAAGAATTCAGCAGGTTTGCTGTTTCCTTGTGTTGATTTCGCCTAGTTTATTTTTAGGTGCCTGTAAAAAATATGTTAACGTAATCAGCCTGTCATATCGAATACTTCAAACCTGCGGTGTGGTGTCTATTAGATCGCACGTCGAGTTATTTGGTCATATAAACGCCGATGTAATATGTCTTCCTTTTTGTATGTAGATTAAAAATCTAGAAAACACATTACACTATGAAGATTAGGCCCGGGATTTATCAATCTCAGCTAAGCAAATATCTTAAAGCAGACTTAGCAATGTAAAGGACTTAAGAGTGACGAACTTAAGATTTTTTGCTTAGCAGGTTTGATAAATTCGGCTCCGGATATTATTTAATTACACTCTACCAGAAAGGACCGTAGGCCTACTAAACACGTTAAGGTTTATAATGTAGGCCTATTAATCAGTCAACTATTACGATGAATTGATTATGGAATCGAGTTTCCCAAGGCTAACCGCAGTACGGTTAATCGTTTTATAAATTTTAATAACGGATGCAAAAACATCATGAAAAGTGTACATAACCTAAGCCTATACACCATATAACATAAGCTTCCATGGTACTACTTTTGCTATTCAAAACACTAAACGTTGTAGACAATCTTTTGTTCATAATTCCATTCATGTCTTCAATAAACATTTCAGTAGATAGTCATTTCTGGAAATGTTGCTGTCTCTTATTGGTGGGTGGGGACTTTTCAGGAGATATGGACACACTGTGATCCACCGGCAGACAGTTAGCTGTTTTCTGTCTCTGTGACTACCAGACTATTTTCTAGTTTCTGGCTGTTTTTGCAGATTCAGGGCAGCGCTGTCCCCTATTCCTGTAGCCGGAGGGTCATGGTGATATCTTTCCTGATCCTGACTCCACACCCACCAATAAGATTCAATAAGATTCAATAAGATTCATTAAGATTCAATAAATTCAATACGATTCATTAGATTTAAGTTATTTGAATATGTCTCTTTGGAGTTCTTTGTTAGTTTACTTTTTTCTTTATTCCTCTCAATCACTTGAATTTCATTTGTACCCTGTTTTTTGTCACGTATGTTGTTATCATTAGGCCGGCTATAACGCCGAAAACCTGGTATCAAACCTTTGAAACTTGTATCTTTCATGTTAGATAGAGTAGACAATAACACACATCCATAAAAAAATGATTGTTTTAGGACTTGTGACAATATTAAGTTTCTCCCGCCACAGGCCTATTTTTCAGCCGGCCGCTGGGTCTCCTAAACGTTAGGCGTACCACACCTTAACTTTTTATTTACCTTGACAAAGAACTCAAATTTACTCGGGAGATCGCTAAAAACACAGAATCTTATCTCCTGCGTAATACATTAGTTGCATTATATTGAAAAAGGCCAATTTCCCGTCAAAAAAAAAAGTGCTCGGAAATTGACTTATAATATTCGAATATGGATAGACGGATTTTCTGGCTCAAAGTTTTGCGGGGGATTATATTCCATGTGGAGGCTTAATTTTGTAGCCTGGTAGTATTACAAGTCGGTTCATATCTCTTCGATATGACGCGTTTGAGTAATAATAAATCCAACATCACCCGGGTTTATGAACATAGCTATGTTTTATACATTTCCTTAATCTGGTTGGCAAAGTGCCATTTTTGACCATTGTTTAGTTGGTGGATACAATATACAGTTGGCTTAGATTATTACTGTATTTTAATTATTTTTTACACAGAAGGCCATAATATTGAGATAGGGGCCTTCCAATAAAGCCCTGTCCATGTCATGCCTAAATACTGTCATGATGACATCACATCAAGACCACAGGCACGTGGGCATACAATAGTTTCTTTGTCAAAGAACATTTGATAGTGTGGACAGAGTATTAGATATTATCAATTGATTTAAAAGAAATGTAAAATGATCCAGAAGATCAAAGACTAACAAGGATCTGACAATGGAAGTTGTATTTTAAACAGGCAACGCATTTTGATGATAATGGTTGATTAATGTAGGCCTATAATACGTTGAAGTCACAATGTAATGTAATATACTGGGTTTGATAAAAATAATTAATTTAATTTTTAATTAATTTTTCAGTAGTTGATAGGTACTTACAGATATGCTAGTTGCCAAAGGCCTTGGAAACTTTCAGCTAATAAAACTGGCAACTGATTATGAGAGAGGTCCATATATTATACAAGAAAACAAGACATTAATTTAGTAGTAAAATATTGTTAATTTTAAAATTCTCTTGACAATATGCTAGATTGATTGTAATTATAATATAATATATATACTGTATTTACCAAATAAAATACATTGCATCAACATTTGGAGTATATTGGAATTTGTCTTAAGCCAGGTTTCCATAAAATCGCTACACGCTATCACAGAAAGCTTCAGCGACGCTGATTTGTCGATTCGGTCGAATAATATAGGGAGCATTTCCGTTAAGCCCCGCCCCTTGGATATTGTTGCTAAGGTCCAAAAAACGACATTAGGCCTGTTTTCCACTAGGCGAATTTATTCGCGCGAATCGAAAGCGTTGGTTCATGCGCACGCGCATTCACAATCCTATCGGAGTTTTTGCGAAGCGAAAAAATGTGCAACAAATCGGAGCTCAGGAAGCGAACCGACGCTTTGATTCGCTCGAATAAATTCGCCTAGTGGAAAACCAGCTTAAAGGAGCTTTCGATTGCACGACGACGATACAACGTATAACGTAATGACGTCACTAAAAATGTATATTGAGTCGTTCAGAACAATTCGTCGGACGAATTATAAGATTTAGACTGAGCTCCTCCTCCCCTAAGAAATCAACACCTACGGTACTAAAATTGTTCAGATATCAATACATCTAATTGCCGTTATTGACCAATATGCTCAATCGATTTTTAAGGATCCCATTATCCGGTCGCTCTGTGTTTAATCGGTTTTGTTGACTTAGCGTAGAGCAAACTAGTTTCTTTGCTAGGCCTATAGTAACAACAGCCTTATTTAACTATTGTACCTTGGAGTCTCGTGAGCAAATATTGCACAATCTTGCGAAATTCTATGTTTAGAAAATGATTAAGTATCTATGTTTAGAAAATGATTAAGTATGAACGCTCATAAGTGTATACTAAAGTCATATTAAATGTTGCAGACGACAGGATCGACAAGCCACTCGGATAGTCTGATCAGATCATGTCTTTCCTTGGTTTAGAAGCACCAACATGGCTGCTTATTCTATTCGTTATAATCCTACTGTATGTGTACGGAATGTGGGGCTTCTCGTACTGGAAGGATCGAGGCATTTCTGGACCAAAACCACTACCTTTTGTCGGCAATGGACTTGACGTATTTTTTAAAACAGGGATGCATCAAAGCCAACTGAAGTACATATTAGAACATGGTCCCATTGTTGGTTATTTTGAGGGACGAAAACCACAGATCATTATAGGAGACCTGGACACGCTCCGACAGATACTCATCAAGGATTTTAATTATTTCCAAGATCATAGAAGGGTTAGTGACTTGGATTTTAAGCCTCTTGACAAGGGGCTCACGCAATTAGAAGGTCATGAGTGGAAGAGAATTCGAAATACAGTGACGCCAACGTTCAGCTCTGGCAAGCTTAAGATAATGGTACCATTGATCAATAATGCCTGTAAAACACTTCTTGGTAGGATCAATGACCTCATAAAATCAAAAGATGATATCAACGTGAAAGACATGTATGGTTGTTTGATGATGGATGTTGTTGCAAGCACGAATTTTGGTCTTCAACTAGATTCTGTAAAAAATCCAGAAAATCCATTTTTAAAAAACATTAAGAGCATTCTTTCCGGCGGACGGCTTTGGTTGTTCGCGGTTGCATTAATGTTACCGGTAGTAGGAAAGATTTTTAGATTACTTGGCGTTGGACTCTTCAATCCGAAATCAGTTGATTTCTTCACAGACGTCACAGATCAGGTTGTGAAGGAAAGAAAAAGTGATCCAAATAATGAGAGAGTGGATTTCATCAGATTGATGATTGATGCTCATGATATGGAGATTGCCAAAGAAGAAGATGGACTCAAAATCCATTTCGATGATGAGAATACAGAGCGTACACCAACAAGAAAACCTCTGTCAACTGAAGAAATGATGGCACAGGCTGTGTTGTTCATAGTAGCCGGTTACGACACCACCAGTACTCTATTGAGCTTTATCTCTTACTTGATGGCCCTTCATCCTGACATCCAAGACAAGCTCGTCCATCACATCGAAGAGGTCATGGAAGGTCAAGATTCGGTAACGTATGAAGCTATCACTAAAATGTATTATCTAGATCAGATAATCCAGGAGACTCTACGGTTGTATCCATCAGGCCCATCAACAGACAGGTTGTGTACGTCTACTTGGACTCACGATGGTTTGACGATTGAAAAAGGTGTCGGAGTAATTGTTCCAATCTGGGCAATTCATCACAACCCTAACGTCTGGTCTGATCCAGAAAGGTTTGATCCAGATAGGTTCAGCAAAGAGAACAAAGAGAAGCACCATCCAATGGCCTGGATCCCGTTTGGACATGGACCTCGCAACTGTGTTGGTATGCGATTCGCTCTAACAACGGTTAAAATTGCAGTCGTTCACATCTTCAGAAAGTATCGAGCTGTTCCCGTAGAGAGTACCCCGATACCAATCGTAGCCAAAGTTCTTGGTCAAGTTATTCCGAAGGATGGGATTCCTCTAGGTTTTGAGAAGAGGGAGTAAGTCTGAAATGAGTTCGTCGTACCTCTTTAAGGAGATACAAATTAACATTATTAAACTAATTAATATTATAAGCTGATAAACTGAATTAATTGGCCAATCAATTGAGCATTAATATATTTGCGGGGTTTTTTTTCTCTCAAAGAATTCAGCAGGTTTGCTCTTTCCTTGTGTTGATTTCGCCTAGTTTATTTTTAGGTGCCTGTAAAAAATATGCTAACGTAATCAGCCTGTCATATCGAATACTTAAAACCTGCGGTGTCGTGTCTATTAGATCGCACGTCGAGTTATTTGGTCATATAAACGCCGATGTAATATGTTTTCCTTTTTGTATGTAGATTAAAAATCTAGAAAACACATTACACTATGAAGATTAGGCCCGGGATTTATCAATCTCAGCTAAGCATATATCTTAAAGCAGACTTAGCGATGTAAAGGACTTAAGAGTGACGAACTTAAGATTTTTTGCTTAGCAAGTTTGATAAATCCGGCTCTGGATATTATTTAATTACACTCTACCAGGGAGGACCGTAGGCGTACTAAACACGTTAAGGTTTATAATGTAGGCCTATTAATCAGTCAACTATTACGATGAATTGATTATGGAATCGAGTTTCCCAAGGCTAACCGCAGTACGGTTAATCGTTTTATAAATTTTAATAACGGAGGCAAAAACATCATGAAAAGTGTACATAACCTAAGCCTATACACCATATAACATAAGCTTCCATGGTACTACTTTTGCTATTCAAGTCGGATGGCCCAATTTTCACAGGATACTACCGGTACTAACTGTATGTTAGGCCTGTATTGTGATGCACACTTTTTTGTCACGTATGTTGTTATCATTAGGCCGACTATAACGCCGAAAACCTGGTATCAAACCTTTGAAACTTGTATCTTTCATGTTAGATAGAGTAGACAATAACACACATCCATAAAAAAATGATTGTTTTAGGACTTGTGACAATATTAAGTTTCTCCTGCCACAGGCCTATTTTTCAGCCGACCGCTGGGTCTCCTAAACGTTAGGCGTACCACACCTTAACTTTTTAGGTACCTTGACAAAGAACTCAAATTTACTCGGGAAATCGCTAAAAACACAGAATCTTATCTCCTGCGTAATACATTAGTTGCATTATATTGAAAAAGGCCAATTTCCCGTCAAAAAAAAAAGTGCTCGGAAATTGACTTATATTATTCGAATATGGATAGACGGATTTTCTGGCTCAAAGTTTTGCGCGGGATTATATTCCATGTGGAGGCTTAATTATGCAGCCTGGTAGTATTATAAGTCGGTTCATATCTCTTCGATATGACGCGTTTGAGTAATAATAAATCCAACATGACCCGGGTTTATGAACATAGCTATGTTTTATACATTTCCTTAATCTGGTTGGCAAAGTGCCATTTTTATACCATTGTGTAGTTAGTGGATACAATATACAGTTGGCTTAGATTATTACTGTATTTTAATTATTTTTTACACAGAAGGCCATAATATTGAGATAGGGGCCTACCAATAAAGCCCTGTCCAGACTACCAAATTTTGTTTAACAAAAACATGTAACATGTCTAAATATAGTCATGATGACATCACATCAAGACCACAGGCACGTGTCAAAGAACATTTGATAGTGTGGACAGAGTATTAGATATTATCAATTGATTTAAAAGAAATGTAAAATGATCCAGAAGATAAGGATCTGACAATGGAAGTTGTATTTTAAACATGCAACTCATTTTGATGATGATAATGGTTGATTAATGTAGGCCTATAATACGTTGAAATCACAATGTAATTTAATATACTAAGTTTGATAAAAATAAATACTGACTACTCCGTGCACTTAAAAGAAACAAAAATAGGTGGGAATGTGAAGAAACTTTTGCTCCCCCAGCAAAGGACACGTACATTTTGCAGCTTAATTTTTAAGTAGTTGATAGGTACTTACAGATATGCTAGTTGCCAAAGGCCTTGGAAACTTTCAGCTAATAAAACTGGCAACTGATTATGAGAGAGGTCCATATATTATACAAGAAACAAGACATTAATTTAGTAGTAAAATATTGTTAATTTTAAAATTCTCTTGACAATATGCTAGATTGATTGTAATTATATATATACTGTATTTACCAAATAAAATACATTGCATCAACATTTGGAGTATATTGGAATTTGTCTTAAGCCAGGTTTCCATAAAATCGCTACACGCTATCACAGAGAGCTTCAGCGACGCTGATTTGTCGATTCGGTCGAATAATATAGGGAGCATTTCCGCTAAGCCCCGCCCCTTGGATATTGTTGCCAAGGTCCCAAAAAACGACATTAGGCCTCTTTTCCACTAGGCGAATTTATTCGCGCGAATCGAAAGCGTCGGTTCATGCGCACGCGCATTCACATTCCTATCGGTGTTTTTGCGAAGCGAAAAAATGTAAAACAAATCGGAGCTCAGGAAGCGAACCGACGCTTTGATTCGCTCGAATAAATTCGCCTAGTGGAAAACCAGCTTAAAGGAGCTTTCGATTGCACGACGACGATACAACGGATAACGTAATGACGTCACTAAAAGTCATCTGCGCATGCGACAACGTTTAGGTCACCTCGTCACGCATGAGTGATTCCGTTCTAGCGTCGCCTCACAAATCGAAAGCTCCCTAGTGTTAAGCTCTGTCCAGATTAAAATTTTGTCTAGAGAGAGCAAACCTTGGCCCTTTGTCTAATTTTTAGTTTAGTTAATTTGATTTTTTTTAAATTTATTAATGTTTTTACCTGTACGGTTTTTAACAATTTAGCCTACTTTTATGGTGTAAGGCTCGAATAATTTCTACTGTACACAAACGTTTCCAATTAAAAAAAAAAAGGCTAATTGGTGGCGCTCTTCAAAATAATTTTCAAAAAAATACAGCAGTTGGAGATTTATCGTATTTCAAAAACTGCACAACTGGTAGGGCGAAATCAATATTGCCATATTTGTCCCAGGACGTTAAAGCAGGCTCCGGAGGAAAAAGGAAATGTCGTACAGCTGATTTTTCTAAGGCATAAAAAACTCAGAAGCGGTTAATGAGATACAGATTATTGAATATTTAAAAACTAGGGCATGCTTATTTCCACCTCCCCCAACCAGTTTTTCAAATATTAAAAAAGCTATATCTCATTAACCGTTCCCGAGTTTTTGTCAAGCATCCTTTTTGTGTCCTACACTGAGTATGCCGATCACTGGATACTTTTAATGACTTTTACCCCACAAAAAGTCTGTTTAGTCTGAATAAGAAAACGTCGTGTTTACCTTTTTTTTTTTTCTTTTTTTTTTTATTATCTGTTGGATAATAATGTTGATTAATATTTACAGTACAAGTATTATTTTATCAGATATTGAAATTAAGAGAACAAAATATGTAAATCTTAGAGTTTTATTTGTTATTGTCCTTTTTATCAGCCAAAATATAATAATAATAATAATAATAATAATAATAATAATAATAATAATAATAATAATAATAATAATAATAATAATAAATGTATTCTTATGTAGCGCAGAATGCTGGAAACCTCTCTATGCGCTTTACATTTAAAGCAAAAGCCGGATCAAAATTTAAAAAAAAGATGATGATTACAACAGTGAGCGAAAATCAGGTTAATTTTATGATATATTTATTTAGTTATTTATTTTTATAATAATAATGTTTAATTATGAAAAATTTCAGCCAAGTTTTTATCTTAATTACCTCCTCATTCCATTTTGTTTCTTTTCCATTTTAATTTAGATTTCTTTTCTATTCATCTATTTTACTGTTTAAATTGTCTTATGAGTTTGGTTTGTCGTTTCTTTTCTTTCCTTCCAGCCCTTGCCTGTATTGCCTACCACCACCTCTCCAACCAACCAACCAACCAACCCACCATTAATTCCACTCCATAAATCTACTAGCCAGTGCAAGCAAAACAGAAAATATCGGTGTTTCCTGAATAAGAAGTTGCATTCAAAGTCAAAGAAAATTTACAGGTTAATGAGAGAGTGCAGTCCCGTGAAATCGCCTCGTTGAATGCCGTTAATCACATTATATGACATATTTCTAATGGACAAAAACAATTGAAATTAGTTCAGATAAAGCCCCATTCCCGGCAAAATTTCAGTTGTTTAAGAAAAATCTAATTTTTGTATAATGTGACCTTTTCCGAGGGGTTTGGGTGTCAAATAATCAATCTATCAGAGCAGGGTCTGTCTCTTATACACATCTAGATGTGTATTCATCCCCCCCCCCAAATATTTTGATTATATATGGGATAAAATGGAGCTTTACACACTTCAAAAGACTGTCACAGAAATAATGTGCACTGTCTTATGCGCTTACAAAGATGAAAATTAGCATAATGAATTAATGTTGATAACAAAATTATTTTATCTGGTACCAATCTAAGCTCTTCTTTCCTTAGATGTGCTTGCAAAGAGAGCCACATTTGACACTGAAGGGTGTGTACGACGTCAGTAATGTTATGTCAATTCCAAGAATGTTTAAGGTTATATCGGTTGACGAGGAATTTATTGATTAGGCCTATAATAGCAAATTGCATCAATTTATTTTTCAAAAACAAGTTTTCCAGCTTCAGAGTGGGGCACATCCCCTGTCCGCACAAGGGCACACATTGGCGCTAACACCAGGCGCATAACAGGCGTCTTGGGTCAGAGTGGGTACCGGGTATTTATTTTCCCGGTTAATAATTTACCATACCCACCCCACGCCACTCCCCATATAAAAAACAATACGACATAGGGCTTATCTTATTTATAATATAGGCCACACACATGTGTTTGAAACAAAATATAAGCATTTTCATCATGGTTTTATTTATTACAAACATATTCTTTAACCATCAATACACGAGGCCCTTCTTTTAGGTTATAACAATCTATCTTAAATTTGTCTTTCTTGAGTTTGGGACTATTATGTGTTTAAATAACTTAAAAGAATAAACCTAAAAAAGCCCTAAAAACGCAAAATATTTTGGTGTATTTAATTCTAATTTCGTCGGAATTGATGAAAACTCCCTAAAATGTGCAATTTATAGAGGAAATTGGCCTACCGTAATACCGAAATTTGAGGTTTTAAGGCATTTCAGGGGATGAAAAGGGCATTTATAAAGGGGTGGGGAAGATTTTTCAAAGATTAAGATATTTTCCGCTTGTCCCCCAGTGGTTACGCCATCGGGCAGTATATGAAAGGAGTTATGACAGTTTTTGAAGTGGAGAAGTGGTTGCAGGGTGTTGTGAGTCTGGTCATTATAATATCTTCCTTTTTATTCTTGTCTTTTCTTTCCTTTTTTTCCCCTCTTCTTTCTCTATCCCTCTCTCTACCCTCTTTCTTTTCTCTTATTACCGTACCCAGCCCGGTACGACGGCTTGGTCAGCCCGGTAAAAACCGTCAGGGGAGGGGCAGTTTTCCCCC